AGTTAAGGTCTAATTTGGGATTGCAAAACCTCTTTGTTGGAAAGAAACACATTTTACGAATTGCGGCGCGGAAGTGATTTTTTTTTATAGCCATAAGTGTTTGACATTGGTGTTAGAAATATGGTGTAGATTTTTTATTGTCTATAAAGAATATTTGTTCTGGGGTTCCAATGACTTCACAATCTTGGCATAATTTAGGGTTTGAGAATGATGGGTTCAATTCAATTGTACTTTGTCGGATTAAAAGATTCTTTCTTTCTCAAAATATTTTAGATCCTTTCTTTACCAACATATTTTAAAAGATCCTTTCTTTCTCAACATGTTTTACAAGATCCTTTCTTTCTCAATGCATATTTTCAAAGATTCTTTCTTTCTCAACATATTTGGTTCTAAAAAGTTGGAAGAAAAGGCGTTTTCTTTTTAAATACAGAGTATAAAAAGTATGCCAAACAAATTAATTTGAGAATGGAACAATATTTGATAATTTTCATTGGTTATGCATCACTAAAATAAAAAAATTCTCATTATTGAAGAATCAAACAGTAATTTTTTTAATAGGATGGAGGAAGCAGGATGGGTGACTTTGTAATCTTCAAGTTTTAGATTTATTTAGATGGATTTTTTTTGAACAATATTTGGGTTGTCTCTAAATAATATTCTCATTTGGATTATGGAATTTGATTCAATTTATTTTTAATTTGAATTATGTAAATATTGATATGGAATTAAAAAATAAAATTTATATATTTATAAATTGTAACAAAAGTTCTACAAAGTAAAAAATTAGTTATCAAATGATCAATACAAAATATTGAAATAAAGAAATATAATTTGATCATGACAAAAAGAAAATTAAAAAAGGATCTTTTTGTTCAAAAATATTCCTTCAATTTGAATGAAAGGTTTCATATATTTTTTTTCCTGTCCCATAGTAAAGTTTCGTTCTCCTTTTGAAAAAATAAGTCCATGAATTACATCATTTTTCTCTAAGCTATATAAATTTCAGTTATTTAATTGCATCCTTCATACTGTAGCCGTCCCAATTTTGATTATAATTTTTTTCTTATCTCCTCTCGATAATTTTTGTTTATTCGTATGTTTTCATTGATTATTTGATAAAATAAATATTCTTGTCACATCTTGTTTTGTAAAATTTTTGACGTAGTTTTTTAATACGAATTTTTTTTATTGATGTATCATTTGTAAATAAAATGATTTCAAACGTCGTGAGGTTTTACCTTGTAATTCCCAATTTGTAATCAAAATTGAAACAGAGAGAGTAATAAATATGTTCAGTCAAACACAAAACCTTAATTTAGATGGAAGAATCATTCTTCAATCAAATTAAATATCGAACACTATGAGCATCATTTTTATACGGAGTAAAAGTTGGACGTCCCTCAATATTGGGGGACGGAGGGAGTATATTGCACGTTAATACAATTTTAAGAAATATAATTTTATTAAAATTTGTTACAAAAATAAATCTTATAAAATAAATTTTTACAATACGGTTTTATTAAAACGACGATCAAAACTTATCGAGTTCGATAAAAAAAAAGTTAAATTGAACACATATTCTACCATGTAAGTAATTGTCTACTTTGAAATGGAATTGAAGTGTAAAATACTCAAACATTGTCTCCTTTGCAAGGTAGCGTGTTATTTCCTTCTCTAATTTGTTTCTTCTTGGAATCTTTTTGTGACAAGACCTATAGAGTTTTGCTCCAACATTTCTTCCTTCCTAGAAATTGTTTGTTCACATGTCTTCTTCACATACATCAAAGGGAGATCAATCAATGATGCCTTTGAAGTGTGGTATGGTTTACATAGACAAATAATTCACCCTATAATCAATATTTTTAGGAAAAAAGGATGAGCCCCATCTTGAGGGTTCCTCAGACTCGGCCGGATGATCATTGAAGGGAGGTAAATTAGACTTTAATCGCAGATTGGTGGCAAAGAGTGGAGTTTGCACCTAGTACTTGCAGAGGCCCTATGCTTTACATAGTTGCCTCCCAGCGCAATTGAAAGGAATCGAACTCGGGTCTTAACCTCTTGGCTATCCTTGCCTTGCCAACTGCGCAATGCCCACCGACATAATCAATATTTTTAGGATATACATGATGTGCAACAACGAAAATTAGATAAAATTAATCTATAAGACGCATACAAACAATTTAGAAACAAATTTTGTTCGTGAATTTATCATTTAACTTACACGACGAGTGGATCTAACAATATAGAAGGGGAGGTGACCCCTGTGGGCTAGCCAAAAACTAGTTTTTATCACGACTATACACGATGATAAGTATTAAATAAAATGTCACACGCTAAAATAACATATATATTTCAATTAATGGCAAGTTAATTGGGTTAAAATATAACTTTATACTCCCTCCGTCCCTAAATAGATTACAATCTTTTTTTCTCTCTCCTCTCGATAATTTTTGTTTGTTTACGCGATTTCATCAAGTATTTGATAAAATAAAATATTCTTGTCACCTCTTGTTTTGTAGAACTTTTAACGTAGTTTTTTAATATGTAATTTTTATACCTTATTGATATACCAATTTGTAAATAAAACGACTTCAAGAAATAGGAAATTTTACTTCGTTACCCGCAATTTGTAATCAAATTGGGGACGGAGGGAATATATTTTTAACTCTTCATTTCTTTTTCTTCTAACCTCCACCCCCATCTTCTTGAACAAACAGCTGGGGTGTGGGGGGAGGGTGAAGAAGAACTCGGAAGAGGGAAAAAACAAACATTGTTTTTTTTTAGTTTTTTTTCCGATCATTTTGTTTGTTAACTTTTTTTGTGTTTGTTTTCGATTTTGTTTCCAATGTTTGCCTTATCTTTTTTCTCGGTGTTTTTAGTATTATTAGGATAACTTTTTTGTGAAGCTTTTTTTTTGTTAACAAATGTCTTTTTATTGTTTTTGTTCTATATGTTTGGCATTTTCTGTTGTCTTATTTTTTGCAAATAATTAAACTAAATAAAAGAATAAATACAATTAGCCCAAAATAAATACTCCCACCATCCCTAAAATATTGACACAGTTTGACCAAAATCAAACTGTTGCATCGTTTAACCATAAATTAAATATATTTTACAATGATTAAATATTACAAAAATTTAAGATTTCAAAACTATATTTTAAAATATGATCCGGTTCTAGTGACACCGGGGAACGGTGTTTCATTTTTACTAGATTTACATTATAACTAAATATACTTTATCAATTGTTCTCGGTCAAAGATTGTCACAATTTGACAAAAAAGTCAAACTGTGGCAATCGTTTAGGGGCAGATGGAGTAAAAATGGAGAACTACTCACAAAACCATAATGTTAAAAAGGGGCTGGTTGATGTCACATTGTCCGGCAATGTAATGGGATGACCCGAGGTCGTGCGGTGCCCCGTTTATACAATTGACGATTTCTATCCTTCTTAACTCTCTCTCCCACAGCAAACTCCCCCACCCCGCCTCGACCTGAACCCACTCCCCCGCCCCTTCAATTGTATACTCCAAGTTAATTTGACTTTGGAGTCAAAATTTTGACTCCAAAATCAAATAAACTTGGAGGGTGCAATTGAAGGAGTGGGGGGTGGGTTCGAGTCGAGGCATGGGGGTTTGCCGGGGGTTAAGAGAAAAGGAATCATCAATTTTACGAACGGAGCACCGTAGGACCACCGGATCATATTATGACATTGTCGGGCAATGTCACATGAACCAGGGTGTGTTAATAGAAGTAATAAATAAAATAAAAATGACTAAATAATCCTTTTTTAATTTTATATCTTTTGTGTTAAATAAATTTAAAATATAAAAAAATGTATTAAATCTTTAAAATTATTTTATTTTAAACTCTGAAGTAATCTTTAGATATATAAATCATTATAAGGAATTTAAAAATGCTTAAGTTTTGGAAAAAAGTAAGATAATTATGCAATACGGAGTATCATTAAAATTTGTCTGAAAATATAAATTTATACACTAAAAACGAGTAGTGAAGTGTATGATTTTGAAAAATTCTTACTTTAGCGGGTCGGTCAGTTCCGTTTCAGATTCGGTCGGGTTTGACCCATTTTAGCGGGTCATTTCGGGTTCGGTCAACTTTGGGTTCGGTCATCAAAACCTTTGTTCAAAACCCAGTGTTTTCAGGTCGGGTTTCGGGTAAAAAATAGGTCAGGTCAATTTTTGCCAGGTCTAAGTAAAAGTATGATTTTGTGTACGAGTAGTTTTTTTTAAGGAAAATGCTAAGGTGTCCCCAAATAATTACTACTATGAGTGTACTCAAACTTCCCACAGATGATTGTCATATGTATCGTCTGTGCGAAGCTTGGGTGCACCGATAGTAGCAACTATTTGGGGACACTATAGCATTGCCTTTTTTATAATGTGTCCAAAATCATTTTAAATCATGGATTCACTATTGACATACACCTTCGTGTCTAAAACAAACTCTACTTTTTGAAATTACTATGGAAAATGCTAGAGTCGCAAACAAATAGTACACAAACTTTATAAACTTGCCTTTTGTGGATTTTAAATTAAAATATCTTTTATTGTTTGAGTACATCTTACTTCTACAAATATATTAAAAAGTCAAGTTTGTGAATTTTGTGAACTACTTGTTTGTGACTCTAGCATTACTCAATTACTATTGTACAAGCTTCATTAATGACTACGACGTCCCATAATCGCCAAATTAGTGCTCAAGTTGATCATTAACCTATTGAGCATATCTATTTAAAGGGTGTAGAAATTATTTCAAATATAACTATAATTAGATCAAATAAAACCTTAATGAAATCACATTAGATTGAGTAATAGTCATATTACAATGAGCTGAAACAATCAATTGGTTACAATGTCTCCCCTTTTGCACATTCCAAATTTTGAAAAAAAAAAAATTGATCCAAAATTGAACGCACTATATAATTTATGCTCATCTAGCAATGAATCCCATATCAAGTTGTCGCATGAAACAATATTGATCAGGATCAAAATTTAATTTACCTCTTTTAAATCGCTCTCCTGGTCGGTCTAGGAGACCCTAAGATCGATGAAGTTCATCTCTTTTTTTGTTATTGACTTCCATGAGAAATGGGAGACGTTGCCGATTTGGCCGATGCAACTGTGGGGCTACCTATTGTGGCGGGTAATTCTCTTTCGACATTCTCAAAATTGGCTTTTCCCATTAGCATTTTGATTGCTATTTGAGCAACATCGGCAAACCACTCATCCTCGGGAAGCACGCTGTGAAAATATTGTGAATCACATATTCTTTTTCTTAAAAAGAAAACGGGCAAAGTGTAAAAATTTGTATTGAGATAGAACACATTTTGTAACATTGAGGAGAAGAAACTTGTTAGATTGAAGAATGAAGGGAATTAATATAAGTAACAATACCTGTAAGGGTCAATGTTAGTGGCAGCCACAGCTTCAATGGCTTTGGCTATAATGTTTTTGATGACTTGGTGTAGGTTTCTAGACAAGTACCGACCTTGGGATGCAAACAGTATCACAAACTCCATGTCCAAATAAAACTGCAACAATATTGTGATGTGAGGTAAAATACATACTATAATTAATAAATGTGTTTTTTTGTAGGGAGGCAATTAAAATGCCCACTAACCACCTTGGAGTCATTTTTTTTAACTTTAAAGTCAACTAAATTTAGAAGGTGCAATTGAAGAGGATAGAAGGTTGGTTCGAATCGGAGCGGGGTGAGGAGATTTACTTTAGGTTAGGATGTAAGAACCATCAATTTTATGATCGAAAAATTATATGGGCCCTAATTAGAGCCAATGTCATAGGATGACATGGGGTTTTAATGTCAAGAGAATCACCCCTTGGATGATTTTGACACAGGATCGGCCCAACGGTGGGCGAAAGTGTCCTACCGACTCATGCCCATTTTAACATTATATATATATATATATATATATATATATATATAATATTTTAATAAAAAATGTATAAACATAATTATTTTAAGGTAGTTATTATGATATTTAATTATAATACTATAATTGTTACTATAATATTAATTGTTGTTTTAAAAAAGTAGTTTATATAATTTAATTTGTTAGGGTCAAGATCCATTTTTTTCATCTCATGTAGAGCCATCGAATCTTCAACACAGGCCTTGTTTTGACATTTGATATTTGAAAGATGAACAAAAATAATGGGAGTAAGGCAGGGTTCTGTTCAACTTATTTTTTCTACTTATTACTTATTCTTATTATAATCAAATCAGAACAGATCAGATTTTCAAAAAATCAGATCAGATCAGACGAACGAAAGGAGAGGAAAACCTGCTGAAGTCCCAAAGGACCTAAAGGACGTGGGCCATCCTTAATTTCTTCCCAAAAGGTCTGGTCTTCAGAAAGCCAGAGGATGACTGTCTCAGTGAGTCTCACCAATAGCATTGTTGCAAACCTCTCTCTCCCCACAAACATTTCCGCTGCAATGTTTGCAATTCTTGTCAACTTGTCAAAGAGTTCCTTTAGAAAAAAACAATAGAATCATACATTTAAAAAAAAACTAATTCAACAAAAAACTCAGAATTAACTCAACAAGAACTAATTAAGCTCCTGATTGCATATTCAAATGATGATGTTGAATTGAAATCGTGATCACTGTGTCAGTAAGACTTTGATACTATATCAATGAACTATCTCAACGAAAAACTTGTGTTTGTAATAGTAGATACAGAGTAACATCCTTTTTTCAATTGAAGGACATCAGAAATTGCAAGACAAAAAATGTGAAGAAAAAATTATGGGAGCTAGGAGCCAAGGAACCAACTTGACCACATGTTTAAGTTTTGTAGCCGCAGGCACATAAAATCTTCTATACTCTAGCATGTCTTTCACGTGTAAATAAAATTTATTTTTGCTTGAGTAATACACATGAACATTATTTTTTTTCAAAATCAGGTGTGTCTGAGGGTTCGAACTCGTGATCTTTAGGCCAATAAGGTCATGATGCCATATATTCAAAAATACCACCAGACATTGTACCGAATCGAGATCGGGTTTTAAAATGTTTCCCGTCCCATTTTAAAAAATGAGAATAAAAAATCCTTAACCAACCATTACTACTATAATATTAAACTAATCTATTAGCTATACATTTTCATTTGTTAGTTTTAAATATGTTTATCTCCTATTTCTTTACGAGAAAAGTGCACCATTTACCCCTGAACTTTTGGAAATTGCGTTATTTACCCCTGAACATTAAAAAGTACACTGTTTATCCTCGAACTCTTCGAGAATTGCATGATTTACCCTTGAATATTAAAAAGTGCACAAAATTCCCATGAACAATAAAAATATTGCACCATTGGTCCTAAAATACCCTTGTGAATTCTCCAAAATACCCTTCCCCAGAAGTATCATCAGGGGTAAACTGTACAATTTGTGAAGAGGTCATGGGTATTTAGTGCACTTTTTAATGTTCATGGGTAAACCGTATAAGTTTTGAAGATTTTGGGGGTATTTGGTGTATTTTTTAATATTCAGGGGTAAACCGTGCAATTTTCAAAGAATTCAGGGGTAAACAATGCACTTTTCTCATTTTTTTTATTCACTAAATTTGGTTCTTGGAATTACAAAAAAAAAGAAAAAAATAGTTTTCTCTTATTTTTCTCACCAAAATAGAAGGAATATGATTTGTTAAGTATTCTCATTTTCTTTTCCATCCACTTTTTTTCTTTCTCTTTCTAACCAAACATGAAAATTAGTATGTCTTTCATTTTCTTTTCTTTTTCGCATTCAAATTTCTCGAACCAAACATAGTATTATAGAGATATTATCTCACTTAATCTTAAGTTTGTAAATTAAATTTTCAAGGCAGGTTATTAAACTAGTTTATTACAACTCATTTATTTTTTTTTTTTATAAAAAATCAAATTACAATTATGGTTGTTTTCAAAAATACAACAAATTATGCATTTCTTGAGAAAGAATGCATAAAAATATTGTGCACCGATTTTTTTTTGATTTTTTATAGAAAAAATATACTCCCTCCGTCCCGAAATAAATTACAATATTCCCTCACATTTTTGTCCCAAAAAGAATTACAAAGTCAATAACTTTACAAGGAATTGACTTTTTTACCCTCCCACTCCTACACTATTCACACACTATTCATCCATGTGAGTGGGAAAGATACTTGGGGGATTTGGGGGGTAATTTGGGGAAAAAAATTTGATTTGACTCTTCCTTAATTTCAACAAAAATGGAATATTGTAATCTAAAGTGGGACAGAGGGAGTAGTATTTTTTAACCATCAAAACAATAAGATCTCGAGTGATATTGATATAACATAGTATCATTCCGTTTTCTAAACGGCATAGTACGGAATGTTTTAGTCGTAAAAACGAATAAGGAGCGTTTAAAATGACACCAGTTACTTCTACACCAGTTGCTTACACCAATTCGTTGGGGTACCTACGGTGTTCCGTTTGTAAAAATGACGGTTCCTACCCCCCTAATCCTACCCCTAAACCCCCCACCCCAGCCCCCCCTCCCGCCCCCCTCCCTACACTGGCAGTAGGGCAGTATAAAAACGGAGCACAATAAGTAACCATCAAAAACAATAAGATCTCGAGTGATATTGATTTAACATAGTATCATTCTAATTTCTAAACAGCATAGTAAGGAATGTTTTAGTTGTAAAAACGAATAATACCTAACTAAAAAATCTTTTATAATAGGATTGGGAGAGTAGACACATTCTTATATCGTCTTAAAATCTATACTCATTTTATGAATGGTAATATATTAGAAATTTTAAAACAATAGAAAAAATTTTAATTGTCAATCTATAAAAAAATGAAAGTAAGTGCATAATAGTACCTGATATATTGGAGATGGGAACCATTCTGGCTCTTCTCCGCCTTGGTCCAAACTCAGATACATATCGGCATTCAGTCGAACGGCGCCATCTTCGGTGAAAATAAGCTCAAGCGCGTGCTGCCTGCAGAAGCTGTCACGCAATTGATCCACCAGCCGCTGGAGCCGCCGCTTCAGCTCCCTCTGCTCCGGAATCCGCCTGTCCGAGGACGATCTCTTAGCGGCGGCGTCATCCATTCTACTGGCCTGGTGATTCGAAGGCGAGAGTTTCGCGGCGGCGCGTGGGATCAGATCGTCGGCCAGTAAGACCGCGTTGGCTAGCAGCGCCGTCTGCTGGGCCTCGGTCTCCGCGATTCGGACGATCCGGTGTCCGGATCCCTCGACGGATTCGGTTTCCATTGAACCGGGGAGGGCGTTCATCAAGAGGTTGATGTATACGTTGAAAGTCTGTAAGATCCCTTCCAGGGCTTGATGAGATAGCCTTAATCTCTCCAGAGGACTAATGTCTTCACACAGTTCCTGAGAAACCAACCACACTAAAACAATACTCAGGAGTACACTCACTATGATGCTTTGTTGCTCTTAGTTGTTCTCTTCATCAATCATTCGGTACTGTTGTGAAAATATTTTAATGAAGAATTATCTCTACTAATATATTATTATTACTATTTTTGTAGGCGTGTTCCGTACTTGTTCTTCCAAATCAACATTTCCCAAATCAGTACTCCCTCTATTCGGATTATCATGTGGCCATCACCCAAAAATTTGAGAAGTTGTCTGACGCAGAGTGTTCCTGGAAAATAATCTTTGTGCAATTTTTAAAAGTGCAGATTCAGTTCCTTGGGCAACTCATCCATATCATGTTGCTGCATATGAAACGTGAGCAGCCGAAGGTTTAGTTTTTTTTTTATTGACAGGAAAGTAGAGAAGTTCTATTTTGAGGATTGGTGTAAGATTACTGATTTTCCCCACACACAAGGTAATTTCCGAATGTTGATGAAGAGGATGATGTTGTGGGCAGTATTTGCAAGAAATTCTTTGGGGCAGCACGTGAATTGCACTTTTCTAACACTCAAATTTGGAGCGGAAGGGTAGTGGTGAGGCCTACGTCAAGGAGTTGGTCCAGTTCTCTGTGTTATACTTTGCAGAGTGCTTCTTACTTGCCAAGGACAAGGGTGCTCGCGTTGACTTTTCTCACCTAGAGCTAATTGACGACATAGAAAAGTTTGAGGTGTATTCGTGGGGTGATTATCCTACATCTTCAGAGTGAAGCTCATGAAGTTTGTAATGGATGGGCAGCCTGAGAAGTTTATGAGCAAGATAACTAAGAATCCATACAATCAAAAGGTTGAAGCAAGCTTTTTATGGATTCCTCATTCCACTAGAAGTAATATTTTTTCTTTAGAACACTACAAGAAATATTTTAATGCTAATATAATGATCCACTTGTTTTAATGGTATTAGATTATTTAGTTTGAAATGGTGAATGATATTTAGATATTGACATACGAGCAATTTCCAATCCTCTCAAAAGAGAACTATGCATCAAGGCTCGGGAACAATGCACGTGCAATGCGGAATTGAAAATCTGAGAGGTGTCACCAATTTACTGCTTTGATGAAACTCTTATTCACAGAGATTTTTATATCACCAAATAAATAATTGTTAGTGTGTATATATTAAATCACTATAACCAATACCATGCTAGTTCAAATAAACTGCCATGAGCGTGTGTCTGTATTAAAAAGACAATTGTAATAATGTTATTACCAGTTTCTGATCGTCTCTTCCTAGGATCTCAGTGAATAAGTGTTCCATCAAGGCACTAAACTAGGGAGATCTCGTGTTTTTCCAAGTTAGCATTGCACAAGCGTTGTTTCCAAGCCTTGATGCGTAGTTATCTTTAGAGAGGATTGGGAACTTCTTATATGCTCATATTTGGAAATCATTCACCATTTAAAACTAAATAATAGAGTACCATTAAAAGATTTGGATAATCAATTTAGCATTAAAATATTACGGAGTACTTGTCATGAAATTGAGAATCTCTAGAAAGCTTCTTTCAACCTTTTAATTTCAGCTTTAAGCTTTCTTTTTCTCATAAACTTATAAATTTGCCCATCTATTACGAACTTGATGTGCTTCATTGTGAGGATGTAGGATGACCACCCCATGGATACCCCTCAAACTTTTTCTATGTTGTCAATCAGCTTCACGTGAGACAAATTAATAGAAATATCTTTATCCTTGGCAACTAGGACACACTATGCAAAGTATAACATAAAGAACTGGACCAACACATTGACGTATGCCTCAACACTACCATTCTGTTCGAAATTTGAGTATTGCTGACGAAGGTGCACTTCACCTCTTGAAATTTCTTGCAAATATTGCCCACATCCTTTTCCTCAACTTCTAGATTTCCCTTGTGCATCGAAAACTAATAATCTTGCATCAATCCTCAAAATAATTTCTCTACTTTGTTATTTATAAAAGACCATAGGTCATCCTCTGACTGCTTAGGTGTCATATGCAACAACATGACATGGATGAGTTGCGCAAATAACTGAATATATGAAAATTGCCCAAAGATTGTTTTCTGGAAGGAGTACAACTACAACTTCTCAAATATATGGTTGTTGGCCACACGATAATCTACAAAGAGGTAGTACTGAGTTGGGAAATGTTAAATTGAAGGAACAAGTTGGGACATTGTGAAGAGACATGTAAAAATTGTGACAATATATAATGTTATTAAGAGTGGAGTGCTTGACTTTAAAAAGTGTTTGGTATTTGCTTAAGAAGTGCTTGAAGCAAAGAGTTTGATTACAACGTGATATATAAAACCCTGGATATTAAAAAACGAAAATGCTTTCAAGGATTGACAAAGAAATTGGCCAAAAATTACCTTGAATATGAAGAACCACTCTGGGAGAGTCTACACAGAGGAAGAAGGGAGTGTAAGAGGAGATTCAGAGGGAAGGACTTGTCTTTGTCCAAAGATCACCGATGCATCAGAGTGAATGATGATGGTGGAGACGAAGATGGAAGGGGAAGGAGAAAGGCTAATGGAAAAGAGCGGAAAGAGAAAGAAGTATGGGATGGGAGTGAACTTTTATATGGTGTAGACACTGGTGCATAAATCGCTGTACATATATATATATATATAGTACTATCTCCGTCTCTGAGTATTTGTTCAGTTTTGACTTTTTTCAATCAACTGTTTTCAACCTTTGATCTATAATTAAATAAAATATACTCCGTACATTGTATTTTAATTAAATAAAATAATATTTTGAAAACATTTGATATAATAAAATCTAAAAAAACTCTTTTTGTATCAATATCTAATATCATTTTTATTTAATTTGAAGTCAAAATTTACCAATTTTGATCGAAAAAAGTCAAATGTGGACAAATACTCAGGGACGGAGAAAATATTTGTTTTCACTAAATACAGGCATTTCTTTGTCTTAAAAATTGTATAAAAAATCGTTCCATTTGAGTTTTAAAAATAAAAAATGCAGACATTTTATAAGAAATATTTGCACTAAATAGCACTAAACTTAAGTCATTTCTCTAAATAGCACTTAAAATGTGTTATTCCCTAAATAGCACTTAATAATGTCCATAATGACCAGTGATGGCGAACATTTACTTGAATAATGACTAATGGATAATGACTAAAAGTGCTACATTGGAAAAAAAAACACATGCAGTGCTATTTAGGGAAATTCATTAAGGTAGTGTTTGGCAACTATCATTTCATTTCAATTCATGCATTTCAATTCTAAAATTTGAAATCCTGAATTTCAAATGACAAGGGGAGGTGCATGGATTTTAAATTAAGCATTGTTTTGAATGCAAAGAATTTGATTCAAATCCAAATTCAAAATGCTTAAGTTTCCCAAACATGAATTTAAGCCAAATCCAGATTTGAAATCCAAATCCATGTTCCCAAACATACCATAATGGATAATGTTTTATGTTTTATAATGCCACAAACCTGAACCATGGTATTGAATCTGTGTGCACTGGCAGAGAGCTTAGGTTGGGATATCATGGCCGCGGCGAGAGGCGAAGTGCCGAAAGAGCGAGATCCCATCGGCGAATGAATGAGCAGCCAATCGTCCGCCGCCGCGAGTGCGGTGGTACACTGCTCGATCCTTTTCAGGTTGGCGGTCAATGCTCGGTCAACGAAAGGCCTGAAGTGCTTCAGCAGAACCGGCGAAAGGGACAGTCCTCGAGCTTCCAAAAGCGAGCAGTGGCCCAGGCATATCTGGACGCACTCCGCGACGGCCCTCAGCCCTCCGAACGCCGCCGGAGAAGCCAGGACGTGTCTGGTGATGAGCCGCGCGTAGGCCTCCGTCTCGCTCACGGACCACGTCACCAGCTCCGACGAGTACGCCGGCTCGTCGTCGAATATCGTCAGCGAATCGCTCGCCCCCTGTGCGATCGTCGAGAACACGAGGTGCGAGAGCGCCGCCGCGTACGCCACCCCGTGCGTCGCGCCGGAGGGGCGGAGCGCCTGCGTGTTGCTCTGCAGCTTCCGGCGGTGCGACGTCAGGAGCAGCGCGTGCGCGTGGGGCCCGTCCCCGAGCCGCTTCAACGCCGTGACGACGGATCGGAGCTCGAAGCCGCTGATGGAGGCCTGGCGGGCGGCGTCCGCCAACAGATTCCCCAGCTTCCGCCTCTGCTCCGCAATGGCGGCCCGCAGCGAGGACAAAGCAGGCGGAGTTAGTAACGGCCGCCGATCCGTTCCCGCATGATCCGGCGGATTATTCGCCTTCTTCTCTGCCTCGTCAAGCGCGTCTAACGCCTCGTCCACGCGCCTCTCGGCGAGCAGAACTTCGAGCGACTCCGTGAAGTGGACCCTCCACTCGTCGATGGGGGTGGGCTCCACGGCTGATGATTCGAAGCTGGAGATTTCGTCTTTTGATAAAGATTCGGGGGTAGAAAGGGAATTCAGATTTGTGGCTTCGGCTAGTCCTTGGATTATGGACGCCCGGTTAGAGAGGTGATTCCTCAACGCAATTAGTTGCCCTTCAAGATCTGATATCTCTCTTGATGTGCTGCATGCATTACATACTAGTGTAATTAACAACAACAAAAATACTACTCACATCCGTTCCACAAAACCCTTCCGGTTTTGACTTTGGGGAAAAATAAGGAAAGTGTAATTTTGGCTAATTTTCCAATTTTGTCCCTGATGTGATGGGAAAAAGTAAGATGTGATAGTTTGATTATTAGTGAAAAAGTATGATGTGATAGGTAGGGTATGAAAAAGTAGGTGTAAAAGTGGTTTTTTAATAGAAAGTGGAAGTGTTTTGTGGAAAGCAAAAAAACGAAAGAGGAAGGGTTTTGTGGGACGGAGGGAGTACTAAATTATTTTTCAAATTTACTCCCAAACATCCTCTGAAATCTTTTCATACCTTTTTTCTTTATTTAAAAGATTCTTTTTAAAATTATAATTCAATTTTCTTTATTCAAAATATGCTTATCTAAATTATAATACAAGCAAATGCTTAACTTACATACAAGAAGAGTTTAGGTTACCGGATAAAAGCGGAATAATTAGCATAAACACTTTTGCGCATTTCCTCTGCAGAAGCCTTCTTCAATTCCACAAGGTAGTGTAACAAGTGCCTTGTTTCCTGCTCATCCATATGCACAAATTAATGAAATTATACATAGAGGATGAAATTTAATGTCACATTTTATTGATTATTATCACTTACACAATAATAATAGGTAATTAGGAGTATTAAGAAAGTCATTTGCTCATTCATATTTAGCTGATGGCATTATATTTGAAGGTGTTTTATAGTGTTATCAAGATAAATGCATCTAATAAAAAAAAGAAATCTGTGGAGTAAAAAAGTATGAAAATACCAAAAGAGGAGTCCTAAGTTTTTTAATACCAAAATGGGACTAAAATGGCAGTGTAGTGTAAAGGTACACGTTAGCAATGTGATGAAAAAGTGATTACAGTGTAATATGTGAGTGTGACCAGTCAAGTGTCGGTGGCACTCGAGTGACTGGCGGCCACGGAAGTCAATGTGGCGGTGGTAGTGTGGCGGTTACAATGTGATAATGTGGTGAGTGTGTCAGTGTAACAATGACAATGTGAACTCCTATTTTGATCTTAAAGACTTACGACTCATATTTTGGTATTTTCATAATTTTTTATTTTTATCTAGAAAGTTCTCCCATAAAAAGAGATATCTTCTGTAGTGTCATTTTTCTAAAAGCATTCTGAATACAATTTCTTCACAAGGAATGAGCTAAGCTTAAATGCATGTTTGAAATGTAACCGGAAATGCTAATCTCGTTTTCTTTTAGGCTCTGTTTGATACATTGAATTCAAACTATAAAATTAGATTTAGAGACAAAAATTCTAATTCTGCTAATTGGTAACACAAAAATATGTGGATTTAGAATTCGTAGTGCAAAAAATGAATAGGAATTAGAGAATTCAATTTCATAAAAATTTAACTCTCAATTCAATTCTAATTTCGTCAATTCCATGTGATGGATATCGGGTCTGGTAGACCCGACTTCAGGCCCAAATGGAGGCCCATAATGGCCCAAAAGGAATAAGACCAGATGGGATGACGGGCCAAGCCCGTCATCTCGTATTTGGCAAGTGGAAGGAGACGGCCCAAACACGAGGTAAATCGAAGCGACCCAGTCCAAAAGGGGAATGGGACACGTGGCCCACATCGTCGAGTTATGGGCGAAATGGGAAGAGAACGAGACCGGAAAGAAGGGGAATCACAACCCCATGATCTCCATAATCCATTTCCATTTTGTGTAATTTTAATTGGAATATTAGAAGTACTATAAAAAGGGGAAAACCCGCCATTGTAAAAGAGGTCACAACAAGACAATTCAATACTTAATCAAAGAATATTATCGAGTAATTATATCTTCCTAATTCATATTCCGTTCTTGGTCCGCCATCTGATCGGGTTAATCCCATCATTGGTGCTCTTGTTGAGAGAATACTGTGAGATAAGGCTGTGAGATTATGGCCGGGCGAAGGACGAGACGTAACCCTGCTACTTCTGCCCAGTCGACGGTGAGGAGTGACAACCCTGAGCAGGGTATAATTGTTCCTGTCAATGGGTTGGAAACAGCGCTAAATAATGTGGCTAACATGATGGCAAACATTATGGAGCGATTGGATAAGGCTCTTCCAGGTCCATCCGGAACCCGGGATATCCCACCCGGGCAACCTCGTCAGGTCCTGCGTACTGCGAGTTCTCCTATCCTACAGGAGCTCCACGATCCGGAGGAGGTTGAGAGGGAAAGGCGAGCCATTGACAGACGCCGGGCGGAGGAATTGGCCCGGAACAACAAGGTGAACGAAGGCCAGGCTAAGGATCCAAGCCGGATCTTCGGTGATGGACACGAAAATCCGCGGGGCTCTGTCTTTGAAAGGATATCTCGCCAGAAAGCTCACGTTAGTGAGAGGCTGGGGAAGAATCCGGAAAAGGCACCCCAGGGTTGGGTACGACCTCAGGCCAGCCAAGTGGCGTCCTCCAATCGCGAACCCCGGCAGCGAAATGACCGAGGCGTGAGCCATATGCCGGTCCGGTCATTGCGGAATCTGGAGGAGGACGAGGTTCAAAGCCAAGCCAGGGTCCCAGCACCGCGGCGTCTTGGACCGCCGGTGCCGGAAGCTGGTGAATTTCAAGACCTGAGACAGCAGATCCAGGAGATGCAGAGGAAGATAAACAAGGGTCGAGTATTCACTACTCGAACGAATACTCCCTTGGCTCCAGAGATCTTTGCGGAACCATATCCGCAGGGATTCAAAGTGCCATTTGTCAAGCGTTATGACGGCGAATCAGACCCCCAAGAGCACATAAATAGCTATGTCCAAGTGATGATCGCCGTGGACGCCAGTGGCGCACTCATGTGTCGGTGCTTCTTGCAGACCGTTGATAGCAAGGTTGCAGACTGGGTCAACCATATCCCTGCCGGATCAGTCCGAACGTGGGATGAATTGGGACTACGATTCCTAGAGCATTTTGCTGGGAACTGCCGCCCCAAAAAGCATTTCACTCACTTGGCATCAGTGCGACAGAAGCACGGAGAATCCTTGAAGAATTTCCTTATCCGATGGAGGAAAGAGTCCAGGGAAGTTGAAGGAACTGATGATAAGTCCAGGTTGGCTATGTTCACGGCGGCATTACAGGATGGACTCCTTCACACCGATCTCACTACACATCCCCCGGATATCTTCGAAGAAGCGATGGTCCGGGCTGGGAGGTATGTGACCCTGGAAGAAAGAAAAGAGGAGAAGAAAGAGAAGACTCCTAAAGAATAAGAGAAGTCGGGAACAAAGAAACCGTTTAAGAATAAGAAGCAGGGCTTCCCGGATGGCCCAAAGGGCGCAAGTCCCTGAGGTCATGACCCACGTAGCACAGCAGGGGCTCATGACTTACCCAACCTATTCTCAGAAGGTTTGCAATGTGGAAGACACTGGGAAATGGTGTGCTTACCATCGCAAAAATGATCACAACACAGAAGATTGCTATACTCTGAAAAATGAGATGGCAAGGCTGATCCGCCGGAGTCATCTGAAGAAGTTTGTAAGAGATGGTGATGCCGGGAATCTCGGGAATGCTCAGAATGGAAAACGCAGAGATAAAAAAGTAGCCCAGGCTGAGGCCCGGGAGAAACGCCACATTGGACTAGAAGACGAAGAGGAAGATTCGGAGCCCGCGCCGCATCTCCAGAAGAGACACCACGGGTGTAACTTCGTCATTGGAGGGCATACTTGTGGGGACTCGGCCACAAGCCGGAAGAAGTGGGCTAACGCGGCAATGGTCAACAAGGTGCTGGTCCCGGAAGGTAAGAAGTTGAAAACCGAGCCTATTGTGTTTTCTAATGCTGATCTTCCAGAGACAGGGGTCCCTCATAGGGACGCCCTAGTAATTACTATTGATATAATGGACTTACTGATCCACAAAACTCTTGTGGATACGGGAAGCTCCGTTAATATCATGTACATGGACACATACAAGGCTCTCGGTTTGACGAGAGATGAGTTATCACCCATCAAGACCCTGCTGACCGGGTTTACTGGTGATTCTATTGAACCGGAGGGGGTGATAACTCTCCCGGTTGAGATAGGGGATACTAAGGCCACCCGGAAGCTGGACATGGAGTTTGTCGTGGTGGGGATAATTTCTAGCACAAATATTATCCTGGGCAGACCCGGATTGGAAGATTTGGAGTGTGTCATCTCACCTCGTCACCTCTGCATAAAATTCCCAACCCCCCACGGAGTTGGAATTGCCAGGGGATCTTAGAGAGTATCCCGGGCATGGTATTTGAAGGCAACCAAACAGCCCGTCAAATACGATACCCAAGTGGGAGAGGTCACTGCACAGCTCTTGAGGGCTGAGGAAAAACGTCCCAGAGTGGAAGTTGCCGGTGACATCGAAGAAGTGGAATTGGAGCCAGGCACGCCGGGAAGTTTGGTGAGGATCGGCAAGGACCTGGGGGCTGAACTCAGATCACGAGTGATTTCAGTCCTCAGGAGGTTCAGAAGGGTCTTTGCATGGAGTCCAGCTGATATGCCAGGGCTGGATCACAAGATTGCTGTTCATCGCCTAAATGTTCTGCCGGAAGCCAAACCCGTGAAGCAAAAACGAAGGCATTTGTCGCAGGAAAGAAGAGATTTCGTAAAGAAGGAGATAGCAGCCCTACAGAGCATTGGGCATATCCGGGAGGTACAATACCCGGATTGGTTGGCGAATGTAGTCCTAGCACCCAAGCCACCTTCATGGAGAATGTGCGTCGACTACACAGATCTGAACAAGGCATGCCCCATGGATCCGTTTCCACTCCCCAACATTGATCAGATGGTCGATGAAACTGCCGGGTCGGAGTTAATGAGCTTCATGGACGCTTTCAGCGGATATCACCAAATCCGGATGCATCCGGCCGATGCTGAGAGGACAAGCTTTATGACCCCAGAAGGGCTGTACTGTTACCTAGTGATGGCTTTTGGACTGAGAAATTCCGGGGCCACATATACCCGGATGGTTTCTCAGGTGTTCAAGACTGTCCTAGGGCGGACCATGGAGGCGTATGTTGATGATATGATTGTCAAGTCCAAAGAGGCCCGAGACCATGTCCGGGACCTTGAAGAGGTCTTTGAAATCATGATGAAGGTAAATCTGAGATTGAACCCGAAAAAATGTACCTTTGCTGTTCAAGGTGGGAAATTCCTAGGGCACATGGTAAGCGGGAAAGGAATTGAGGCAAACCCGGAGAAAGTTAGAGCCATCATGGAGATGGAACCTCCGAAGACAGCCAAGGAGGTTCAGCGGCTAACATGAAGATTTGCGGCCTTAAATCGTTTCCTTTCAAAGCTGGCAGAGAAGGCGCACCCATTCTTTGCGGTGATTAAGAAAAGGGCGACCTTCGAATGGACACCGGAATGTCAAGAAGCATTTGAAGAATTAAAGAGATATCTCACAAGTCCGCCGGTTTTATCCAAGCCGGAACCTGGGGATATTCTGACTCTATATTTGGCGATTGCGGATTGTGCCATAAGTACTGTGATCGTGAGAGAAGAGCGTGGGGCCCAACATCCGGTCTACTACGTCAGCAAGACCCTGAGGGATGCGGAGTTAAGGTATTCCCGACCAGAGAAAGCCATGTTGGCGGTCTTCTGGACGGCGAAGAGATTGACACCGTACTTTCAGGCTCACCGGATTATTGTGCTCACCAATGAGCCATTGGCGTCACTTAGCCGGAGCCCGGCGGCATCGGCCCGGATGACCAAGTGGGCGGTCTTTATCAGTCAGTACAACGTGGAATTCAGGTCGCGCCCATCCATCAAAGGGCAAGCACTCGCTGATTTCCAAGTCGAGTGCACCGCTAGGGAAATGACGAGAGCCCAGGTTGAAACCCGGATGGAGAAAGATTGGTGGATAATGTGCATCGACGGATCTTCTGGGTCTCGATCTTGCGGAGCAGGTATCGTCTTGGTCACCCCAGAAAATTTCCGGATTTATTACGCCATCAGATTTCAGTTCCGTGTCTCCAACAATGAAGCTGAGTATGAGGCCCTGATCAATGGTTTGAAGATTCTTGGTAAGATGGGAGTATCCAGGGTTCAAGTCTACAGCGACTCCCGACTGGTGGTGGGACAAATCACAGGGGAGTTTGAGGCAAAGGAAGAGAGGATGAAGAGGTACCGGGACTTGTCTCTAGAGATGTTGGGAAGGTTTGAGTTTAAGCTTGAACATATACCCCGGGCCCAGAACGCAGAGGCCGATGTTCTGTCCAAGCTCAGCGCAGAATCACCGGAATATATGGGCAGATTAGTAACTGTCGAAGAGCTGGTAACCCCGAGTCTTAGTACCAATGAGGTGATCTGGGTATCAGCTGATCCCCCGGAATGGTTGGACCGATTGGCCAAATACATTGAGGACGGTGAAGCCCCAGAGAATCCCCAGGAAGCGCGTCTATTACAAATGAGGGCACCAACCTACAAGGTGCACGATGGAGTCCTCTATAAGCGGTCTTACAACGGTGTCCTACTCCGTTGCCTTAGAGCAACAGAGGCGAAGGCATTGATGGAAGAAATACACGAAGGAGTATGTGCCGCACATTAGGGTCCTTATTCCATTTCCCGGAGGGCTATCATCCAGGGATATTTCTGGCCAACGATGAGGAAGGATTGCGAAGAGTATGTACGCAAGTGCCTGACTTGCCAGCAATTCCAGAATATACCCGGGAGACCAGCCACTAACTACACACCCATCAGCTCCGTGATTCCCTTCTCAAGATGGGGAATTGATCTTGTGGGAGCCCTGCCAAAAGGGGCGGGGCAGGCAAGGTGGATTGTGGTGGCAATAGACTATTTCACAAAGTGGGTGGAGGCTGAGCCACTTGCAGGGATCACCGGAAGGCAGATGATCGACTTCGTTGGGACTAATATACTCTGCAGGTTTGGGGTCCCGAAGCAGATTATATCAGACAATGGAACCCAGTTTGAGGAAGCAGAATTTNCTTGTGGGAGCCCTGCCAAAAGGGGCGGGGCAGGCAAGGTGGATTGTGGTGGCAATAGACTATTTCACAAAGTGGGTGGAGGCTGAGCCACTTGCAGGGATCACCGGAAGGCAGATGATCGACTTCGTTGGGACTAATATACTCTGCAGGTTTGGGGTCCCGAAGCAGATTATATCAGACAATGGAACCCAGTTTGAGGAAGCAGAATTTCAAGACTTTCTCAAAACTTGGGGAATTCAGCACACAAAGGTGTCTGTTGCGTACCCTACGGCTAATGGACAAGTGGAGAACGTCAACAGAACAATCATAGACGGAATAAAGAAGAAGCTACTTACAGAAGGAAGCAAATGGGTAGATGAACTGCCCAAAATCCTGTGGACATACAGGACGACTCCGAGGAGAGCCACGGGTGACACTTCTTTTGGCTTGGCGTATGGTTTTGAAGCCCGGGCCCCCGCCGAGGTAGTAATCCCCACCAGGAGAGAAATGGAATATGACCCGGAGGTGAATGAACAGAATCAGGCCATAGAGCTGAATTTCGTAGAAGAACGAAGGGATGAAGCACGTATCCGGGCAGAAAATTATCGTCGCCAGGTAAAATCTTACTTTGATAGCAAGGTGAAACCAAGGGCATTCCAGGTGGGGGATTATGTTCTGAGGAAACGAGAGAAGAGTCAACCAACTAAAGGTGGGAAGCTGGCCAAGAAGTATGAAGGACCTTATATCATCAAGGTCGTAGTTCGCCCAGGTACCTACAAGTTGGTGACTCCCAAGGGGAAAGAAATTGATAGGACATGGAATGTAGAGCACTTGGTCAAATTTTATCAGTAAATCATTTTGTAAAAATACTCTGTTTTTAATTTCAAATGTTTGTTTCATTCACCTTCTTCTATAGCCAATTTCATTGTTCTATGGATTTCTTTAAAAAAAACAAAAAAAAAGGGGGGGGGGGGGAAGCACCCCCGGGCAATGTAGACCCGCGTTACAGGGAGGTAGAAAAGTTTATGCCACCTGCTAAGAATAGGGGAGGTAGATAAGTTTATGCCCCCCTGGAGGTAGAGAAGTTTATGCCTCCGTCAAGATTGAAGGAAGGGTTGGGATTGGACTTCGAGGGCCACTACAACCCGGAATTCAGGAAGAATAGCAAGCAGACTTCGAGGGCTGAAGCTTAGTATTCCACTAGTATAGATCAACTGAGCAAACAAACTTCGAGGGTTGGAGCTCAACTGATCCAAGGTAGATAAGATTATGCCTTAACCCGGATGAAGGGAAGGCCAGGGGCAGATATGATAAGGGCCCTAGGTATTCCCAAACCCCGGGAAGATGAGATTTATCATAGAGAATGAATTATGTACTTGCATTTAAAGAGGTGCAAAGAAATGATCATTAAGGACCATGTTGATGGGCCAAGGCTTACATTTTTTGGTTCACAATAAAGGTTCCTAGTGAAATAAACAAGAGAAGAAACTAAGGGAATTATCGATTGCTAATTCGGAAGGTATATCTTTGAATTACAATGATAATTCATATTTCAAAATTAAGGAACATTCATTAGTTTGGAATGAGGGAAAAACCTCTGGACCGAGCAAGTGAATGCCCCTTGATACAAAACAAGGAAAAGAAATTTGGTTTGCAGGAGGCTAGGATCTGAAGGGGGGCCTATTGCATCCATGCAGTCAACAAGATGGAGGTGGGGGACCCTTTCATGGGCTCCTTCTCTTTGACGAGGGATGCGTTGATGAATCAGCGGTTTCCCATATGTCATAGTCTTCCCATGTTCCGGGATGAGGGGCTGCTCCCTCCAATGATGAACAATTGATGGAAGGCTTCTGCAGGTTTGGAGGAGCAGTCCGGCTTTCACATGAAGGTTCCGCTTCAATAGCTAGTACAGAGCGTCCAAGTTTAGTCCTGCACATCCTCTGATACAAGGCGAAGTCTTGTAGAGTCATGGAGTCCCAGTCTATTTCCCCAGAGGGAAGCCTGGGTGGACTGGGAGGAGAAGGTGCAGGAAGGCGGGGCGCCGGATAAAGCCTCGAGAACTCGCCGGGACTCAACCCGGCCATGTCGTTGGACTAGGCTGGGGAGATGGGGAGGTCACTATCTGAAGAAGAAGACGTCCCAGAGAGGGTTAAGTCGATGATGACTTTGCCCTCAGACTTGCTTGCCATGGTGAAGAAGTCTGAAAGTGATGGACGGGCCACTAATTGCCCTTTCCCATTTTATAGCCAGTGGGGAAGGGATAGTTGGGAATTGATGAATGCAATTAAAAGGCGTGAAAGACTGAACGATTGGTGAAAGGAACGGTCGAAGCTTTCCCAAAGTTTGACTAAGAATTTCTCGCCACTAAAGTGCATGGGCCAGTTAATTGGGCCCATTTGCGCTTTGAAAAAGACGTTATCCTGGGAAGGTAAGGAGTTAAATAGACTTAGACTTCTACTCCATGCATATGACGGCACGTGCAACAAAATAATATTAAAAGACAGGAGATAAAGACTATTTCCATTAAATAGCTCAAACAGAAGATTACATTCTTTTGGGTTACAGTGATGGGCCTTATCCCTGATCTAATCATGAAACAAAAAAGAGACAGGAGATAAAGATTTTCATTGAATAACTCAAACAGAAAAATTACATTCTTTTGGGTTACAGTAATGAACTTTGTCCCTGATCTACTTCTATCCTACTGCGGAAGAAAAAATTGAAAGCAAGGCGGATCGACGCTTCTGGAATCTAAAGGAGTGAATTCGCTGACCCTTGCTTCCCTGCCTGAACTAGAAAGAGAACCTCAAGGCAGGAAGGCATGGAGAGTGTCCGCCGAAGACACTTCATGAAATTCACAAGAACTAGAATGGTACCAACGGGTTGGGACCTAAAGCCATCCCCGTGGATACCATCCGGTCATTCCTGTGAAGGCGCCCACCGTTTTCTCTTGATGACATTCAAAAGATACGGAGAGGAACCAACGGGTTGGGATTGAAAGACATTCCCCCCCGTTGGCACCTTCCGATCGCCTCTCTGAAGTCAGATCAGGAGGACGGGCGGGCATGAGGGAAGGATCCAAGGCCTATCTCCATTTATACGGAAGGAGGGGGTGGGTCCCTGAAGGCCCCATCCTTTTCCCTGCGTATAAAGGGAAGCCTGTTTCCCCCATGTCATAGTCCCCCCATTCCTCAGGTGGCTGTCCATGCAACTGCTGAGGGGAAGGGGAACTCTGAGAAGAAGGCCTCGCACCGGAGACCAGCCGGGAAGCTCCTGAGTGGGAATTGCGTCTCTTCTGTGGACGAGAAGTGCCAGGACAGCCAGAAGAGACTTCAGCCCTGGCACTGTTAGGAAGCACGCTGGGACCCGGAGGGATACTCCCTGAGACCTGTTGGGGGAGATGAGGGTTATTCTCCTCCCTGGGCAAGGGGGAGGTTACCGATTGTTCAGAGGCAAGAGAAGGCCTAGAAGAGAGCTCAGGTGTTGGGGACCCAAGTGAAGGGAATGCCAACGAAGAAGAATCAGAAGAAGAATCAGAAATAGTAAGATCAATGAAGACAACTCTATTGGCGTTATTAGCCATGTTGAGAGATTGATTGTGGCATGGAAAGGGCTTAGCCCAGCCCCTTAAATAGGTGAGTAATCCCAAAGGAGAAGGGAAAGGGACGCGGAGTCAAAGCGCTTATCCGATTGGGAGGCAGTTGCGAATTCCTGAGGAGGGCTAGGGTTCCACTATCTTATCATTGGGCTAAGGTGAGTTGGGCCCGGCATAATTAAAGTGGGCCAGCCGCTTAGCGCGATGGTAAATAAGAGGAACAGTGCGTTGTGAACGCGGTTAAGCCCAAAGCCTAGGCGGGTAAAAAAAAATCTGCTAAGTCCTAGGGCAAAACAAGAATACCAAAAGGAGAACAGTCAGATTACTAAAGGAGTCTACATGGACAAAAATACATCGGATGTTATCAATTTACCATAATCCAAATAATTACAAGGCAAAATATGACAGTCAACAAGGAGGGATAAAATCAAGGCCCCGGGTCTGCACGAGAAGCTGGGGGAGAAAGAGGGAGAGGTAACCCATAGTAGGAGATGAAGTCATCCAAAGTGCGGTTCTCTGGGAGACCACTCTGGACTGCCCTGTAGATGCATTGCTGCATGTCAAATTGTCCCTCTTCGTAGAGGGCTTTGGCACGGGCAATCAGGGTGGCCACCTCCTCTTGATGAGCAGCGATCGTCTTCTCTTGTTCATCCACCTTTGCCCGGAGCTCACTTGCGGCCTGCCTCTCTCCCTTCAACTTCTCGAGGTCAAGCCGTCTCGCCTCCATGTGCTTCAGGGCAAGCTCGTTAAGGCGTGAACCCTCATACTTGGCCTCTTGGAGGGAATTCTCTAGCTCAGAGATCCGGGATTCCCTCTCAACCAGCTCAGCTTTCACACTTCCTACCTGGTCTTCTAAAGCCGAGACCCTTGATTCCAGGAGGGAGATTTGTGCCTGGAACCTACCGAACTGCACTTCCAGATCATGGGTCTCCTTGTGGTAATTAGCAATCTGATCTTGCATTGACTGGACCTTGGATCTCTCAGCTGCAAGCTCCGTGGAGCCATCTAGTTTGAGCCGAGAATTCTCTTCTAGCAGGATCCGGACCTGCTGTTCCAGGGAGTTGAATTTCTGTTGCAAGGCCCTGACCGCCAGATCCCTCTCCCTCAGGAGCATTGCAGCCCGGAAGTTCCCTGAAGCTCCACCCAGGTACTCCTCAGTCAAAGTGAGGAGTGATTGCTGGGCCTAAAAAGAAGGATAGGGAAGTCAAGGAAAAGGACTAACCTAAAAGAAGATAAGGAAAATTTCGAAAGGAAAGAGTACTTGCTCCATAAAGTTCAGGGCATTGAGAGCAAGCAGGTCGGGGCGAGTCTGGAGAGTTGTGGGTCCCTGCACTGAGTCCCTCATCCTCTCCAGGTTCGCATGGATATTCCAATGGGAGGCCTGTAGGGATCTCAAACCGCGGGAAAGGCCTTCCCAACCCTCGGTAAAAGCAGAGTTAGTTTGCGGTGTGAACTTACGCCGGATGGGGATATTGGGGGCTGGGAGTGTGGCCGTAGAACCCTGTCCCTTCTGCTCCGGTTGATTCTCAATCTCTCTCCCCATCTCTGAGGGGGCTCCAGCATCTCTCTGCTCTCCAGCCTCATTCTCCTCCGGGTGGGAGACGTCTGTTTTAGTCTGTGCCTCGATCTCCCTCTCTGCTGCAGGGGAGAGCTCCGATTCTTTCTGCTTCATCCCCTCTTCGTTCGTTGCGGGGGGAGTGGTTGCGGCGGGTGGCGAGGAACTGGACGCCTCAGTCTGAGGCTGCGTTGCGGGTTTTCTGAGCGCAGACTGGTCTCTAGGCTCTTCTTCCTCACAGTCAAGTCTATCCGGGTGGGATAACTTCAGGACCCTGGATGTAGCAGCAGGAGTGGTATTCTGAGTACCAGAAGAGTTGGACAGGAGGCTGGGCGAAACGGAAGTCCCATCACCTTTGTTTTTCTTTGGAAGGAAATCATCATCGGAGAGACCTTCCCGTGGCCGTTTCTGGGACAGAGTGGGCCTCCTAAGCCCAGGGATGGCAGAGATAGGAACAGCATTCAGAGCAGTATCCGGATTGCGCACAACTAAGGTATTAGAACCATCTTGGGGCCGATCTCCAGAAGAACTTGCAGCCAGGTTGGACTCTGCAGCAGAAGGATTCTTCGATCTCTCGGGGGAGGGCATCTCCTCAAAAGGAATCGGGTCAGGACCCAGGAGGCAGTAAAACCCTGCCTTCTTGTACAGGTTAGCTTCTTGGAGGGAGTGGTGGGAAATTAGACCCTCCTTCTCCCTCAAAGCATTATACACCCCTTCTGCCAGGTTTGCTGGGGCGAATTTCGTCTGGGAAATAGAACGACGGAGGACAACACCCGGCAGGTCGATGGGGCTGTGAGCCGGGAATTCAATGACGAAGTATTTAAGCGCCCATTTGTCGATCTTGAGCTCGACCTTCTCAAAAATGGGAAAATGATTGTGGGGGTATAGACTGTAAAAGGGGAAACCACCGATGCTGAAGAGGAGAAGAAATTCGTCTAGTGTCGGGGTTTTGT